CTGTTCATTTGCTTCTCAGCCGCTGGCTTCTGGTCCTGCCGCTCCGTCCAGATTGCTCCTGCTCAGGGCCTGGGAGCATCCATGCAGTCCAGTAAACTGTTTCCTCTTCCTGCTGATCTTACCAGGGTACCTGGTGGGCGTGGCCACTCTTCTTGAAATTCTTCCCTGAGGTTTTCTTGTTTTCTTCAGCCCTGAGCATGGTCCTCCTCTCCTGGGCAGCCCTTCAGTGCTGTGTTCCTAGGTGCTGTCTGTTCTGCTGACTGTATGCAGCAGGCCTTTCCTGGGTGATTGCATGTGCATTCACAGAGCGCCTGCCAGCAGGTGGCTTCAGTTTGCTCTTGGGCTCTGCTTGCGGGATGTTACGCCTCCCTTTGCCTCCAGCATCTCTTCTGCACTCTGTCTTGGTCAGTCAGCAGTATTTTGGGGGGTCCTTCCCTCCGCCAGGCTTCAGCCTGCATTTTGGGAGTAGAGTGATGAATGAGGTGGAGTCTCTGCCCTTGGAGGCGGGGTGGGGATAGGATAGGAGTGAGAGGACAGAATATATGAGCATAAATAATTGAGAATTACTAGGAAAGGTAAAACAGGGTGGGCTGGCAGAGCTGGAGGGGCGAGGCTTCTGCAGTGCCTGGGCTGGCTGGAGGTTCTTCCTGAACGGATTGTGTTTGAGTTGAGCCCTAAAACCGAGAAGGCAGCCAGGGGACTGTCGGGTGGAGCAGTGAACACAGAGGTCCCTGGGCAGCACAAGGTAATCCGGTTAGGGATGGCAAGCGTGCCAGTGAGAGCTGTGGGGGCAGCAGATCACTCGGGGCCACGTATGAGTCTGGGTTTATTGTCGTTAAAATGAGAGCACGTTGGAGTGTTCACAGTTGTTGCGATGCATCCTGTTGTGGAAAGCTCATCCGGACTGCTGGATCCAGAGGATGGATATGGTGTGGAAGAGAGTGGGGGAGGGGGAGAGGGAGGGGCAGGGAGCACGTGTGCTCGCGGTTTGGGTGCAGCGAGGAGAAGAGGGCTGTGTGGAGGTGGTGAAAAGGCATCCTAGCGCCCCCCTTCTTTATTCATGCGTCTGGTTAGCCCACCAGTTGCAGACTCCCGACGTTAACATCTCTGCGCCTTCCTCTGTTTCAGGCCCAGCCCACCCTCAGAACGCCGTTAGAGCAGTTTTCCCCAAGTTTGTCGGCATGTTCCTGCCCCGCTGAAAGTTCGTTGGCTCTCTGTGGCTTTCTTAGCTCGTCGTGGTTTCATGAGGTTTCACCTCTGGCGCTCCCCCTCTCCACACCCTCCCCGGAGCAGAACTTCTCGTGGATGCGCTGCCCGCATTGGTGGGCTCGCTCCTCGGCGCGCTGGAGGTCTTGACGGCACTTGTGTCCTCTCGTGCGTACAGCGCCTGCGTGGGCATCCTTCCGCAGCTCACCTGTCGCCGTCTCCGGGGCCTTTCCTGACGCCTCTCCACCTGTCCCACGGTCTGGTCTAGGTGCTTCTCTGTTGTTCTGCTGTAGCGTTCTCTGCACGGCCCTGCCAGGGAGCTTGGGGCTGCCAACCATCCTTTCCCACTGCCGTGTTATAAACCCACCAAGGGCAAAGAGCGTATCTTGGATGGCTTTTGTATTCCTAATGTTTGACACCCTGCCTGGAAATGTGCCTAGTCTATATATGTGCTGAGTGACTTAATTCCGGAAAATTGTTAGAAGAAGTACCTAATATCTAGTTTGTTTATTTGACCAGCTCTTTTTTGCCCCATGGTAAGTTGATTCTCTTCTACTGGAAAAATTAAAGGCTTGAGTCAGGATTTCATAGGGAGAGCACGGAGACCCAGTCTGTGCTTACTGAGTGAACCCTTGTCTGAGGGCGCATGGAGGTCCCGGAGGAAATGGGCACGAGGTGGCCCCTGTTTGGTCGTGGAAGAGGAGGGGAGATGCCAGAGTGGGGAGGTGGCAACCAGACTGCCTGAGTGGAGGAATGAGTTGGAGGTGAGAAAGAAGGTTGACTATTTGAAGAAGTCAGGTAGTCAAAGCATTTGTCTTTTCTCCCTCTCTTTTTTTTATTGCTCTTGTTTTGCCTTGTTTTAATAGTATCTGAGCCCCAGGTCTGTTTGATGGCCAAGAAAGAGGAGGGCATAAGGGAGGAGAGGGAGGACTATCCTAGGAGGTGAAAGTCACGTGGGTACTCGTCCCTTTGGAAGGAAGGGGCATCGGCTTCATTTTCAGAGACGTGAGCATGTGTGGTATATTTTTATAAGAATCTGCATCAGAAACGATTTAAAATAAGTAGATGGGGATGAGTGTCCCAAAAGGCCAAAACATTAAGTTTTAAAAGAGTAATCTCAGTATTCAGAAAAATTAACTGATAAAATTGCAGTAAATACAGCAGAACTGTGTGTATTTTTCTAGAAGTGCTATAGTTTCCAAAACATTGTCTCATTTAATATCATTGTTCTTTTCATGTTATATTCTTAATGTTTAGCATTTAGACAGCACTCTGTAATTCACAAAGTGCTTACATAGCATTGACCTCTCCTGAGACATCTGCTGCTTAGAGAGTTTCAGTTACTTGTCAAAGGTCGTGTCGGCTTACTTGTTAAGCTGTTAAGCATTTGTTATGTGCGAGGCAGTTTTCTAGGCGATTTGTCAATATTAACTCATTTAATTCTCTTAATAACCCTATGAAGTAGGTACTATTATCTTTCTCATATTATAAATACAGAAACTGAGGCACTGTGGGCTCAAGGAGCTCGCCACTGGTCCAACATAGTCAGGTGGGGCCAGGATCCGGACCTGAGCAGTGTGGCTGCAGAATTTACTCTTAACCACTGTTCCACCGCCTCTAAGTAAACGTGGGAGCACACGTTCGAATCCAAATTCAGAGTAGACGCTGGTAAACAGTAGGTTCTTACTTTCAATCATTTGTCCTCCCTCACCTCCCCCCAGTCAGTCTGAAAGTCTTCTGTAAGTGAAGGTTTACTTGACAGGGTCAGACTTGAGTTTCTTGTAACTTCTAATGTTACTAGGTGTTTAGAATTTTATATTAAGTTTGCAGTAAATGTAATTTTTTTTTAATTGGTAACCTTTGACTTGGAAAAGAGGAAAAACTGGCACTTGGGTCAGCTCAGAATAGAAATATCTTTGATATTTGATCTTCTGGACTGGCCTTTACTTTGGTGTGTCATGGTCACTGCTAGGTTAGCCTCTAGTCCTCTGTCCAAAGTCTGTTATTAATTATTTATTACTTTTTTGGGGAGGAATTTGCATTCTGTATAGACAAGTAGACCCTGTAAAGTTTGCTGGATTGAAGTTTATGTGAAACACATTTTGCTTGAAAGGGCGCGTGGTTAGTTTTGTGTTGGGTAGGTAATTGTAACTATTTTTTTTGTTAATCAGAAGCAAGTGCTTTGATAGAAAAAGCAGAGGAGGTAAAGTTGCTCTGATCGTGTTTTGTGCTGTGACTGGAGCCTTGCTGTGATGAAAGGCTATTTTGAAGGCAGGGCGGTCGATGGAATTTAAAGTACCCAGAATCTAGAATTAACTTGATTAGAATTAACTAGATTGAGGAAGAGAATTGAATTAAATAGTTTGACTAGCTACTGGGCTTGCATTTCTGTGAATGGTGAATTTTTAATGAAGAACAACAAGGAAATAAATTGCAGGAAGTTCTTGGGCAGTAGGTCTGAGGGCGTGTGCTGTGATAATTTGAGGAGGCGTGAGGCTAAATTCAGCAAGGCTCTCCAACTGTCACAGTGAGGGGCCTTGTTTGTTGATTTGAGAAAAGGAAAGAAATTTGTATTAATTGTGTAACTGATGGGTTAGAGCAGATTGATTGTATAGACTAATTTTGAAAACAAGGCATTCATATACTTTGGAAACAGTTAAAATTGGCAGTAAAAAGAGAATCTAGATTTGGATCAAGATTTAGTGCTTAGAAAATTACAATTGCAATGTGTATGGTGAATTTCAATGTAAGATTCTTTAAAACATTTTTTATATTAAAAAATTTTTTTTGATTATTAGGTTGAAGTAGCAGCAGATACACAGATAAATGAGAGAAATTTTGAGGTAAGTTAATTGTAAAGTGGGTTTTCCGTATAATTGAGAGAAGTAACACTTAAAAATAAAAAAAAAATGAGTGAATGTAGACTCATTGTACACAAGAAGGTGAGTTAGGTGAAAAATAGCAAGAGAATGAACTTAACGAAAGGGGAGGTGTGCGATTTATCTGAAAAGTAAAAGTCAGGGAAAGAGGCCTAGATTTGTGTCGCTGGAGAAGTGGAGGTAAAAATTGGAAGATGAGTGAAAACAGAGCTAGAAGTCTTGGGGAAAATTAATATATTTACCTCCTCTGGCTGAAAATCTGAAATTGGGTGCAGATAAGTGATAAGAGTTGGTATTAATATTAACTTAGGAAATTCGGCATTTTGAAGATAAATACATTTCCCTCATAAAAAACACTTCCTTGCTCTTCCCATAAAGTGCCATATACTGTGCACCAAAAGGGACTTTGAAATTGAAAGTACAGAAAGAGAGAGGAGAGAAAGATGTGTTTTTCAGGTCCTGTAATTAGATAGGCATTTTCAGAGTCAAATAAACACCTGAACCGTGGTTGGAGGGTAGAAGGTCCCCGTGGTGCCCATCTTTATAGCCCTGTGCCTGGGGGAGTCTGCTGGTGCGTGTCACGTCACTGGGATGGCACCGTTGACAGGTGTTGTTCCCTCTCACCCTGTGGCACTTGGAAGCATCAGGAGGGTGATATTTGCACTTGTGAGGATTAATCAATGAAATTTACGTAGCGAGATCAGTGTGGACAAGACAACTTTTTAAGAAATTAGCTAGCTTCTGTCCCAAACAATTAGAAGTATGTATTGAGACCTTCGCACCAAGTTTTCTTGAAGGCAGAGTTGGAAAGGCACAGTGGTTGAGAGATCCTGGGAAGGGAGGCCCCCTGGGAGGCGGAGTAGGAATTAAAGATAATGTTCATGTTGCATTGTTCACATTGGGAAGGGTCGTCCTGAGCCCGTTTCCTTGCGGGAGGGAATGTGACGGTTCAGTTCAGAGCGGGAAGTGCTGTGCAGACGGAGTGGTGATGGGGTTGCCGCCAGGTGCTGCTGGAACGGGAGAGCCGGGGGCCGAGGGTCCTGAGTTACGTGGGCAGAATCTGAAGGCAGAGTAGTGGTAGAGGTGACTGATCAGAGATGGGGAGCCGAGCAGCGGGCGCTCCAAGGCCTGGGTGGGGTCGTCCCCGCTAGTCTGTGGGACCGAAATCCGCAAGATTCAGGGCCGGGGGTTGTTGGCACAGATGTGGGGGCTGGAGTGCAGGTGATGGCGTGAGGTGGGGAAGAACAGCAGGACTGTTAGGAAGCCACTCGGGAGGGTGCAAATGTCTTCGGGTCCTTAGGAGACCACAGTGGTGATTATGCGGCGCGTCTGGGGAAAGTAAGTGGTTCTGGGCTGTTGAGAGGCACTGGGTGTGGAGAAAGCTGCCGCTGCTTCCTCTCCCTGCCTGCCGCCGTGTGGTCCCAGGGGTGCGAAACTGAGGCCTGGTGATAAGTGGTCCCTGTAAAACCGATTTTTCCTCTCTGAATATTTAGGTCATACAGAAGTTGTAAAATCTATCAGGATTATGCTTCATTACAACAGGATTCCACTGAAAACATACCCTTGAGACACATCAAAAAAGCCTTCTGTGCAACTAGAGCCATTCTGTTGTTTCTCACGGTTACTCCTAGGAAAGGAGGATCCCGGTGTGCCCAGGACTGAGACTTTTCCCAAGAGGCAGATCAAAGGCTGGATGGTCCTGGGCACACCAGGATGAGTTGGTCGCACTCTTGTTTACTGTCCTGCTTTATAAATTCATTGAAATGACTGACAACGTATTTTCATAAGTCATCTCTGTATAGAAGTAATATTCCTGTATTGTTTTACATTAAGTCCTCTGTTTTGTAGTTTATGCTTTCATAAGTGCTCACTCTCTGCTTGAGGGTTGCTGAATCTTGGGTATCTTGGGGGAGGGGGATTCTGTTCATCTATCTTTATTTT